GAGTATATTCCCAGTATTCTCTCAGTGAAGGCAAATAACGAAACTAACCGTGTGTGCCAAATTTCTGACCTAGAAGACTTTTTTTTTTTTTTTTTCTCTGAACCCAAATCTTACCCCCAGTGTAATATGAGTACACAATCAAGTCACACCAATTAGGCATCCAGTAGAATTTATAATTAGTGTTTATCTGTTCACAAATAGAAATGCTGCTGAGAAACATTGAAAAAAAGTGAAACAGCAAGAAATATAGAACCTAAGTTGTCAGAGAAGGGGGGGGAACCTGAGCATGGGGTGGTGTAGGTATATTTAAAGGAAAGTGAAGTAACGTCCTTTTACTGTCAGAGAACCACGGCAATGCAGGTTGGAAGACATCTCTGCCTGTCTTCACTGGCGCACGCTGGGATTTTTATTAAAAAGCTCTGATGTTGAGCGCAGTGGTAGAGGTGAGGCAGGATGTTAGCCTTTGGAGATCAGTACATCATTCTGAACAGAAGGTGACAGCCCTTTTGCCATTTCCCACTGTTTCCAGATAAGGACTCACATGCGGTAACAAATGCACAGTGCGAGTCCCCCAGCATCCCACATCATCACGCTGGTAGAGGCTAGGGAGGAGTGAGTGACTCTTGGAAATCTTGCTAAGTGCTGGATGCTGGAGGATAGTTTCTGTGGTGTAACGCATCAGGGTCACAGAACTCTCTTTTTTCACAGCAGGTAATTTTGAAATATTTGACATTGTGTCTTTCTTGGGCTTCCCCCCCCCCCCATAAAACAGATAAACTGTGTTATGGTGGAGTAACCTAAAGGTAAAATCAATGACTGGCATGGTACAATCCTTCCTCAAAAAAAGAAAAGGAGAAAAAACCCCACAACTTCAAAAGCTTAAGTGAGAGGAGGGGGGAAAAAAAAAAAAAAAGATCAACTTCCTATAATTTAAAAGAAACAAAGCCCCCAAGTGAAGTGCCAAATAGTGTCAGCCCTGCCCTCTAGTGCTGCCAGCGAGTAAGAGGTGGTTGCATGGTTCACAGCAGTGTTGTCCAAGGCTGGGCTCACCTTTTTACTTCTTATACCGTATCAGAGTGTGGATTTTTTTGTGTTTGTTTTCTATTTTGTTTGATTGACTTTTTAGGGTGGTAGTGATGTTTATAGTGTTTTCATGGGATTACTGCAAGACAAGCAAAATCAACCTCAGGCTTTGGTGGATGATGAGCTCTATAGAAAACCTGAAGTATCTTGAGCACCCAAGATCATCATTACGATAAAAATTTAAATAAGCTGCAAAAGAGTTAGGAGTGTTTTGTGATTTATCATTAACTGAAGCTTCCCCTCCACAGTATCGAAGGCGAGTATGTTCCTGTGGCGGGCGACGAGGTCACCTACAAGATGTGCACCATCCCTCCAAAGAACGAGAAGCTTCAGGCGGTGGAAGTGGTGATCACCCATCTAGCTCCTGGAACCAAGCACGAGACCTGGTCGGGGCACGTCGTCAGCTCCTGAGGTGTGCTGGAGGGAGCGCGGCCGCTGCCTGCATGGTCACTGCTCAACAACGGGCTGCAGGGGACCTGGCCTAAGAATATTCTACGTATTGTGTGGGAGGAAATAGTGCATTGTCAATAAATCAGAAGCAGGCCAAAATTACCGCTTTTACAGCTGGTCTGGAAAAAAAAAAGGCAATTCAAATGCTAATGAAAAAAATCTAACGTAATGTGTTTACAAAAAGTGTATTTTAAAGAGAAGTAGTTTGTGTGCTTGGTGGAGGGGGAGACGTTTGGTTTTTCTTTTATCTTGTGAACTGAATCCAGTAAATGCCCAGGGGGTTGGGGAGAGGTTTGAAGGAGAGCTCTTCTAGCGCAGACGGCTGTAGCAGAGGCACAACTCTGAGCTGATCTCTGTAAGGGTTGGAGTGCTGATGTTGCTGAGAACAGTGCCTGAATGCCTTGTGAGAGAGAGGTGTTCATTGCTGAGATTTGTTTTCCTTGTGGAAGGAAGTTCACAAATGGAGCAGCTGCCGCAGGGTGGAAAATCTCCATCTGGTGGTTACGCTTCGATGGCCACGTCTGGGTGCACTTCACATCCACCATTTGCAAATGGCATGTCTGCATATGTGTGGAATACTGGGGTTTTAAAGCCTGAATTGTTCGTGAGTTTACTTGGGTGCCTTGATGGTTGATTAGCAACAGATTTTATAGGCCAGTATTAAAAAAAAAAAAAAAAGAAAACAAAAAAAACCAAACCAAAATTTAAAAAATTTGCTTCAAGGTAAGTGGTATAAAGCTGTAGAGTAGTGGATACTTCATAGCTTCTGACTGCATCTGAATTTAGACAAAGCTGAAGATTACCTTCTTGATTGCATATAGTGAATGTCTGCCATGGCATGTCACTGGGCAGGCAGAATAACTTGTACTTCTGAAAAGCAAGTTATGTGCTGTTTAATGACTGTATATAAGATACTGTGCGAGTTACTTAAGAGGCTCAGCTGTCTCAGTGAACTTGATTCTGCCACCATTTCCCTGGAAAACTTGCTTGGTAGGATGTGACATGGTCACCCTTGCCCTGACTCTTCTCTGCCTGCAAGATTTCATGTAGTTGTAGTGCAGCTAAATTAGTTCTGTTCCTATTTGCCTTCCACATCTGTTTTTCAAATGAAGCATTTATCTCTGTTATGTTCTTAATGGTGGATTTTTATTGACTTTGCAAATAAAAAAAAAAAAAAAGATGGCATGATACTCTTCTGTTAGTTGTGTGAAACAGTAAAACTTCAGTTGCCTATTTGCAGTTTTAACAATAGGCACTTGCTGTTATGAAATGTTTTAAGACTCTT